GTATGGGAGATGGTCTAAAAACCAGTGACATGAGACGTTAATTTTCTTTGACCCATCAAAATGAATGTGGTCATTTATTAACAGAATCAAAATTTAACATCAACATTGTACACTTGATTATTCTGATTGAACGCAATAACACAGCTTAATTAATGAGCTTTACAATGAGAAATCATACGGCCATGATTTCTCACTTGCACTGAAATACAACAGACATTTCTGAAAATATCTGGATTAATTACTGGCAGATAGAAGAGTTTTAAAGATGGGGAATGAAGGAGTTTAAATGGAGAGAAAAGATGTGTGAGGGAAAATGTGTTGACGAAGAACAACACCCTCCATTCGAACCCAGCTCTACCTCGGTACACTTCGGTAGTGGAAATCGACTCTTTACCTTGCAGAAGATATCTCAGCTTCGGTGTAGAGTTCTCTTTCAACGTTACCATCTCAGCGTCTCCGTAGGATAGCAGAGAAACGTCCGGAGTAGTGACGGTACTTCGTTCAACAGCACGCTCACCTCCCAGGTGGACTCACATGAGCTGTGAGCCCGTCAGAGTTCCACTCAGATGTGGAAGCTTCCATAATCCCCACGAGACTCGGAAGAACTCCCAAATAACTCCAGTCCTTCAGAACTTTCGTTCGGTTCTGCTCCCAGAACTTCTGTTCTTCTCTCAGAACTTTTGAACTTCTCCAGAACTTTTTAAAGAGTTCGCTTCCGGTCCCTTTTTGGGAAATCCTGTTTGGTTGAAAGAACCAACAGGGGTGTGGTTTTAGTGACGTAAGAGGTTACTACAAGTCAGAAAAACAGTGAGATGTTTTTGGAACAGACAGAGAAATGTTTAGGCGAGATGACAGACCACAGGTGCCAGCTTCTTCTTATTTCTGTCTGATAGGTTTAAAAACATGACAGTTCGTTCTAATAAACTTGTTTGCGACTGTCTCCGACTTTTGACCGACATCACTACTTCTCATTTCAGACAGAAGAACCAAAAAAGGCATGATTACTCTGTAACAGACATTAACTTGATTTCTACTTTGAATGAGGATTAAAAAATCATTAATACTGTTTCACAGTTGATTTAAAATGAGTAGTTCACTTCAACATTTAAAATGGTTTGAACTAAACACACTTTGATTATCAAGATATTGTAAAATAGTAATGATAATATAAAAAAGAGAGAGTTCTTTCAATTGATTAGTGCAGGACACACTTAGAAAGTCTCTGGATGAGCTAATTTGTATTTCTGGACTCAAATCAATGAAATAACAGTTTCTGTCCCATGAAGGTCCTCAGGGTCAGATTTTGACCTGAGGCTTAGTTCACTACAGAACAACAAATGAATATAATGTCTGGAGTGTTGATAGTTCTAAAACATGTTTTACTTTATTTAGAAGTCCAATACTTTTGCATACTTTTAGTTTTATATATTTTATATGAGATTTCCAGTTAAGTTTATGATCTAAAACAACCCCTAAAAATTTAACTTCATGTACTCGTTCAACTTGATTATCATCGATAGACATTGTAATAGAATCATCTATTTTTCTGTCACCAAAAATCATGAATTTTGTTTTATTCCAGTTTATTGATCATTTGTTGTATTTAAACCACTCGTTAAGTTTAGACATCTCACTGGACAAACATTCTATAATGTTTTTTAAGTCATTCCCAGAACAAAATAAATTTGTATCATCTGCAAACAGGATGATTTGTAACTTTTTGGACACTTCACAAATGTCATTGATATACAAAAGAAAAAAGCTTTGGTCCTAGTACTGAACCTTGAGGGACTCCACATTTTATGTTTTGAAGATCAGATTTTTCATTTCCTAGCTGTACAAATTGTTTTTGTTTAGACAAATAACTACTCAACCAGTTACGAACTATCCCTCTTATCTCATAATCTTGTAATTTGGAAAGTAATAAAGTGTGATCAACTGTATCAAAAGCGTTTCTTAAATCAATAAACACCCCCACTGTGTAATGCTTCCTTTCTATTGCTGCTGTAATTTTTTCATTTGGTTCTAATAATGCAAGGGATGTTGATTTATTTGATCTAAAGCCATATTGACTCTCACTCAACAAGTTATTATTTTCAATATAACAATCCAATTTCTGGACAAACCATTTTTCCAGCACTTGAGAAAACTGGGGGAGCACCGAGATCAGTCTATAATTGTCAAAACTTTGTCTATCACCATTTTTAAATATTGGAATTACTTTTGCTCATTTCATTTTTTCTGGAAATATGCCACTCCGGACTGACAAGTTACAAATATAAGTCAATGGTTTAATAATAAAGTCAATAGTTTTTTAATAATCATCATATTAATTCCATCACTATCAACAGATGTCTTAGTTTTACTTTTCCTGACTATAGTTAGAATTTCATGTTCACTTGTATCTCCAAGAAACACTGACTGTGACATTCTACCACCACCCTGCACACCCTGAATATCATTTGTCTTAATGGAAGAAGCCAAACCTGGTCCTTTATTTACAAAAAAATAATTAAATTCATTTACCACTTTATTTTTTCAGTCGATGTTGTTTCTCCCTTAAAAAACTGTTTTTCAAGACAATGAGTATAATTAGGTCTTACAATACTATTCAACATTTTCCACGTTCTTTTCATATCACCACTGCGCTCTCACAACTTTAAATTATAGTAATCTTTCTTAGCTTGTCTTATTAATGTTGTCAGTTTGTTTTATGTTTGTATTTCAATTCTTTAGGTTTAGTTGGAAATCTAACAAAATCTCTATAGAACTTTTTTTTCTTCTTACAAGATTTTAACAGTCTCTTGGTCATCCAGGGTTTTGCACTGACATTTTTTATTTTTGTGACGCACTAATATCAGGCAATTTTTGTCATATAATTATTTATGACTTGCAGAAATGTTTCATATGCCACATTTACATCCTTCACATATACCCCACTCCAGTTTTCCTTTAACAGGTCATTATAGAATTTCTTTATTGTTTCATCAGATCTGACTCTAACCTGCCTTATGTCATCAACTTTATTAGTTTTTTTTAATTTTACTGTCATGAACTATGAATATTGGTAAATTATCACTTATGTCACTTATTAGGACTCCACTGTAAATAGTCTTTCCAATTTCATTAGTAAAACTATTATCAGTTAATGTTGCAGTAGTGCTGGTGATTCTGGTTGGTTGAGTAATCACTGGAAATAAACTTCTATACTGGCATCAACAAACTCTGTGGTCATTTTGTGCTGTCCTTGTTTTAATAGATCAATATTGAAATCTCCACATATTAACCAGGTTTTCCTGTCATTTAATCCATCCAGGAGATTTTCACATCTTTCTCTAAAATATTCTAAATTAGAGCCTGGTGTTCTGTGTATACAAGCTACAATAATGTTCTTTGTTGTCTCCATCTCAACTTCAACAGTAACACGTTCCATCACATCATCCAAGGCAAATGACACAAATTATAATTTTTCACATCTCAAGGAACTACTGACACAATGCAACACCGCCACCTTTGTTCTTCACTCGGTTTGTATGAAACAGATGATACCCTTCCATATCAAAATCTATAGATGTGTCATTTAACCACGTTTCAGATGATGCTATGACTTGATAGTGATTTCTAAATGTTTTCAGATATTCACTAATCTTGTCAAAATTAGCATGAAGACTTCTGCAGTTAAAATGAACAAGTGAAAAATTATCAAAGTCCACAGAAAGATTCAGTTGTTCATCTGTATAAAATTTACAATTGTTAATTTTGTCTAATAAATTACTGTGTGGATCAATGATCAATTAACCAGTACAGGCAAAAGAGAGCACATTACACCAGTTTAGGCCTCACTGCACTGGTTACTGGTTCACTTTCGAATCCAGTTCAAAATACTCCTGTATGTCTACAAATCACTGAACAGTGTCCCCCCCCCCCCCCCCCATCTCTCTGATCTGCTACAACCGTATGTCCCACCACGCTCCCTGAGGTCAGCGGACCAGTTGCTCCTCACAGTTCCAGGAACTCGTCTTAAGCGCAGAGGTGACAGGGACTTCTCTGTAGCAGGACCAAGACTTTGGAACGAGTTACCTCTGCTTGTCAGACAGGCCCCCTCCCTCTCAGTTTTCAAGTCCCGTTTAAAAACTCACTACTATTCAGTAGCTTTCAACACCAGATGATCTGTGTTTTGATCCTGTATGCTCCACACTGGTTTGTCCTCATTATCTGCATCTTTTCTATGTCTATATTCTGATTTACCTCATTTTGTATTTTGCTTCGTGTGCTACCTGTTGTTCTGTCTGTACAGCACTTTGGTTGGCCTTGTTGCTGTTTTAAGTGCTTTATAAATAAAGTGGTATGGTGTAGTAATGTTGTTTTCATAATCATGTATTTTGAATTCCGTACCACCATGTCTTATCAACATTGGTTTGCTTGTTGCACGTTGCATTTCCTCCATTTGTCTCTCCATTTATTCAAAAGGAACTTCATTCACTTATGTTTTTCAAGAAGGGCCTTAACTCCATCCTTGATTTCATGACCTGGGGCTCTCCTCCTTTGGGTCCAGGCCGTCTCCCATCCTGTGTTCTGCAGGATTGACTCTAGATCCATTTCCTTCTCTGGAACGTCCATGTTGACTCCGAGCTCACATAATCCAGTTGCAGCAGCTTGAGGGTCATTATACACCTTAACTTTCCCGTTCTCACAAAAAACTTTCAGTCTAGCTGGAAGTAAAATCTGTGACTTGATTTTTCGTTCAAGTACTTTGCGCACATCTTTGTATTTTGCATGTTCCTTAAACACTGATTTTTTTTAAAGTCCTCATCAAAATAAATCCTTCGATCATTTACTTGTACAGTCTTTGCTCTCCATGCAGCTTGCAGTACTTTTTGTTTCATGGCATATGATTGAAATCAAACCAGAACAGTTCTGGGCCGGTCCTTTGGTCCAGGCCTCGGCCCTATCCCATGTGCCCTCTCCACACGGAGTTCGTCCGTCACTTCCAGTTTTTCATGGATCAGTTTGTTGATAAAGTCAATCATGTTGTTTTCTTCACAGTTTTCTGGCACTGAGTAGATTCTCATA